AGCGTGTTCATGATGGTGCGGAACCTGACGGCAAAAGTCACACGTCGTTAGCTCGTCCGCGCCGCTTCCTGTGATGTCTTAGCATGAAGCTAGCCGGGGGGGGGGGGGGGGGAACGGCACGACGCCAATCGCTAGCCCAGCGACGGGCTTTCCATGGGCTCGCCTCGACAATGTGGCAACGAGCCACGCCGACCACAAGGCAGACTATGGCGTTTCGCGTTCCGTCTTAGCCTCGAGCTAGCGAGGGCAGCGCCGGAACTAGCGCTGCTAATTCTTAGCCTGACGACGGCGTTTCCCGCGACACGGTAGAATATTAAGAGAACGCGGCGAGTCGCGCTAATCTTTCGACAGAGAGCGGCATTTCCCGTGACGCTCGCGAGGACGCCGCCGCCACGAGCCATCCCGATCGTGAGCGCGACCGCAGCCCTTCGCCTGACGTGTTAGCATGAAGGCCGCGGGGGCAACCTCGGTGCTAAGCGTGAACCCAACTATCGCATTGGCCATGACGTGTAAGCGACACGCCGGAAAGGACGACACCGCAACCCGCCGTGCTAATCGACGCTCGAGTCCGGGGTTGAGCACCGCGATGAGCGATGCTAATCATTAACCTGACTGAGGTGTTTCCTCATCATGCGCTAGCACCGAGCTCGCGCGAACAGCGCTACGGCCGACCATGATAATCTTTCACCGGAATACAGCATGTCCCCTTTGGGGTGAGTACTAAGCTAGCAGAGGCAACGCCACGACGAGCGACACTAATCGTTAACCCGCCTCGGGCGTGTCCCATCACGCGTTAGCATGAAGCTAGCAGAGGCAACGCCGCGACAAGCGATGCTAATCGTTAACCTGCCCCGGGCGTTTCCCATCGCGCGTTAGCATGAAGCTAGCAGGGGCAACGCCGCGACGAGCGACGCTAATCGTTAACCCGCCCCAGGCGTATCCCATCGCGCGTTAGCATGAAGCTAGCAGAGGCAACGCCACGACGAGCGACGCTAATCGTTAACCCGCCCCGGGCGTATCCCATCGCGCGTTAGCATGAAGCTAGCAGGGGCAAGAGGGCAACTGGCGACGTGATTGGTTCGCCCTTTCCTGGCATGACGCTTTCGAATCGAGCTAGCGCGGGCGACGGCGAAACCTATGGATGTCGGGCGACGCGTTTGGTTCCCGCGCTCGTCGTCACACTTTGATGACATCGCAGCCGCACCTCTTGATGCTGTCCACCACTCGGATAAGTCGCAGCACTCGCAGGATGAAGACGATGTCCAGGATCTGGCGGCTGGTGTAGCCGCCCGCTGAGAAAGGACAACGCCGACACGCGTCAGGACTTTGTTCTCAGACCTACTGCAAGGATTGGACCACTCTCGGGGGGGATCTCGGCAGAACTGCACATTTTGAAGAACTTCCAGGTCCTTCTAAGGACTTTGGTTGACTTACGACCCTTCGGCGCTCATGACCCGATCGCAACTTTCGGGACCTTTGCCAGCAGCGGGAAATAGGAAGTGACCTCACATGACTCGAGGGCAGCGTTGACGACGGTGGCGACGAGTGCGCAGACCACGATGATGGTGTCGAACCTGCAAAGAGGACGGGAGGGAGGGAAGAATTTGGAGACCCGGACCTGTCGGGACCTTCCGTGAAGGTCTTCAGAACGCGGCGCCGACCAGTTCCAGAAGCGGTGCGCGGCAAAGAAGCTCCTGGGCTCGACGACGTAGAGCTTGAGGAGGATCTCCAGCAGGTAGAGCGCCAGGAAGGCCCACTCGGCGTCGCCCACGCCGGGCTTGTCCTCGTCCAGCCCGATGAACACCGCGTTGATCACGATGATCAGGTCGTACGCCGCGGCGAAGGCCCTCCGCGCGCGCCCCGCAAACACAGGCGTTAGCCGCTAGGCGCTCGCCGGCCGGCGTCGCCGAAAGCCACGCCCCCTCACCTGTGCCGGACCAATCGGCGGAGGAGGCGGCTGGGCGCCGAGCGGTAGAAGGCGGGGCACAGGCGGCCCAGCGGGTGCGGCCTGGACTTGAGCGTCATCACTTGGATGTTGAGCAGGTCGGCCAGCTGGACGAACGCCCGCTTGTCTGACGCGTGCGCGACGTGTCGCGTTACTATGACGACCCGCTACACACACACACACATACACATACACACACACACCTATGGCGCCGCGGCCGCGGTCGTCCGAGACGCTCCACAGCAGTTCGGTGTGGGCGTGGCTAATGTCGGGCTGCACCAATCGGACGAGGCGGCTCCAGTTGGCGCGGCTGACCAGCGGCTCGCCGCCGCCGCCGCCGCCGTCGTCCTCGCGACGTTCCTGCAGCACGGCGAAGGCCCGCGCCATCTTGTGCCGCTTGGCCCGAACCAGCTGCCGCACCTCCTCCTGCAGCACGCACGCGATCGGGATCAGAATCCAGGAAGCCCCCCCCCCCCCCCCCCCCCCCCCCCCCAAAAAACATGTTTCAATTTTCTTGGGGCATTCAAGGAACTTGAAGGGGCTTCTAGAAAATTCCGGGACCTTCTCAAAAGGTTGGAGGAAGTTTCTGCACCTTGTGGGAATTTCCTGAAAAAAGTTTCTTTGGACTTTTTCAGGACTCTCCGGTGAGTTTGCAAGCGGCGTGCGGCGCGGCTCACCTTCAAGTACTTCTTGTAGTTGTTGAAGACCACGGCGAGGAAGACGGACATGAAGATGAAGGTGTTGACCAGGATGTAGACGATGAAGAAGACGGCGAAGGCAGAGCCGGCGTCGTACGCCGGCATCCTGAGCGCAGAGGCGCGAGCGCGGCCGTCAGCGGGGCGGGGCGGACTCGGGCCGAGACGGCCGCCGGCCGGACGGACGGACGGAGCTCACATGACGTCGGGGCTGTTGGCCGTGGTGACCAGCACGTAGAGGTCGAACACCGCGTCGGCGTAGTTGGAGAAGTACGGCGACCCGTCCGACGTCTTCAGGTCTCTGCGCCGCACTCGCCGCGTTAGTCACGGCGCACGCGCGCCTCCGCGCGCGGGAGGTTAAAGGCTGACGTCGACCCACCGCTTGCTGAAGAGTTTGAGCGCCATCAGCGAGAAGATGAGGATGCTGAAGATGAAGAGCAGGAAGACGGTGAAGATCTGCGGGAGGGCGTTGCGGATGCTTCGGAAGGCCCTGCGCAGCTTTGGAGCGAACGCAGGCGGTTAGCGGCGCCGACGGCTTCCGGCGGCGCCGCGGCAGCGGCGCCACCTACCTGCCGCCCTTCCGTCACGTTGACCAATAGGAGCGGTCGCAGCACTCGCGACCAGCGCAGGGCGTAACAGCCGGCGGCGTGCAGAGCGCCGTAGATGATCATGTCGGCGAGCGTCAGCTGGGAAGGATAAAACAAAGGCGACGTTTCGTTCGTCGAGTGGAAGCGACCATTTCAAGCTCCAAATTCACCAAAGAGCAAAAGAAACAGTTTGAAAATTGAAAAGACGACATCGCATCGCCAGCTTCATCCATCGTGGCAAGTGGTCCAGGTCCTGGAGACGAAAGCAGCCCCAGACATTTTTTTTTTTTTTTGGGTGGGGTTTTTTTCCCATTTTTGGTCGAGCCGATTTTGTCCATTTCTTGACCGAACGGTCCCGGGGGTCATCGGCTTGAGCGCGCGCAATCCAAACGGACTCAGCCGCCCATCAAGTGGGACCGACCTGGAGGACTTTGTCACACGGGGCCGGGGGGGAGGTTCTTTCTTTCGCTTCGCAAACCAAATGGGCAGCTTTCGATGTTGGCTCAGATTCTTTTTGTCCGATCGTGACCGAAGGTCAAGTCCGGGGGGTCGTGGCGAGGGCAAATTCGGGAAAGAGTCAAGGAGGAATCCTTCGCCCGTTGCCCAACCGCGACGTTTCCATTCGTACGGCGATGAAACCGCGACTCGGCTACTCCCCGAAGACTCAAAAGGCCTCGGTGACTTTTTTGCGAGCGGACGTCTCACGAGGCTGACTCGGCACATTTGCGCTCAGGAGGGAAGTGAAAGCGCGTCCGCCGCTCCGAGCCCGTGTCAAAGGTTGCCGTGAGTTCTCACTAAAAAAACCCTTCAGGACCTTCTCAGAACAACCGGAAAATGTCAAGAAGGTTCTCGGAGCGTTCTCGGAACTTTCCAAATACCTCCGTGACCTTCTTGCAACTTGGAGAGAATTTTCAGACCCGCCCGAAACGTTTCGGGGCCTCGTCAAACTTCCCCCAAAAAAACCTTCGGCGCGGCCCCGACCGATTTCAAGAACCTCCTTCGGGACCTTGCGGCCACCCGAGCCGCTCCTACCGCCAAGATGGCGATCATGCAGATGTTCTTGGGGTCCTTCCAGAACTTGTCTCGCGGGATGACCTTGGCGTAGTGCACCAGTCGCAGGGCGAACACGTGCAGGCACAGCAGCTCGGCCAGCATGGGCGCCTGCAAAAAACAAAAGTGGAAACGGCCGGCCAAAAAAACGCAACGCCGTTCGGGGGGGAGGCGGAGGGGCGGCGAGCCTCACCCACGCCGGCAGAGGCACGACGGCGGGCTCCTCGAACGCGGCCAAGCTCAAGTCCAGCAGGATGAAGAAGTAAAGCAGCACCTGAGCCAGTTGCCGGTTGTAGAGCAGATACAAGCTGCCGGTTCGCAAAGAGAGGAAAAAGTCAGTCGCGGGGTCACCGGACGGCCGGCGGCGACGTGTCGAAGAAGATGTTCCTGTTGTATTGAGCGTCCGAAACGTACGCCGACGCCAGCTCCAAATCCTTCCCGAACACACAAACGCCACACTTTCAAAATAAAAGTGTCACGGCAAGTGAAGAAACGCCCGGGGGGCCGACATGTTGAGTGGATGAAACGAGTCACGTGTTCATCGTGACCTCCTTTTCGAAACGTCAACATTTCCAATGGACCTTTCGGGACCTTCGACTTTCCGGAAAAAAAGTTTTGGGGATTCTCAAGACCGGGAGCACACCTGGTGGAACTTCTCACAACTTTCAGGGCCTTCCAAGAATTCTCAAAAGCTGTTCAAGGACCTCACAGGAACTTCCAGGAAAAGTCTTGTGCAAAGCTTTTCAAATCTTTCGGGACCTTTTTTTTTTTTTTTTTTTCATGACAAGATAATGAGTGTCGGGGGGGGGGGTTCCCCTGAATAATTTCTGTCTTCCCACGGGGTTACCCTAGATACTTGCTGTCTTCTCCCCAGCCCTCGCTTATTTACTTTTTGTTGTTGTTGTTGTTCTTTACAACGATCGTCGAAAGCTGATTTCGGGGGGGGGGTGTTTTCGCCGCGTGATTGATTCGCTACGTGCGCGTGCCCGGCGGTCACGTGACGTCGTTTTCTCGATCTTGCAGGAAAAAAGTTTTTACGGCTCTCACGTGAAAAGGATCACGCGGGCACTCGAGCTCACTCACCTCTTTGCTTTGAGCGTCCTGTCCCTCGCGCGCACGCTCGTCGGGGCTGCTCGTGCTCGTCATCTCCGTCTTTGCCAACAACACTTTTTTTTCTTCTTTTCTTGTTTTTCGCGTTCTTCTGCGCCCGCTCTCGCGGGGAAAAAGTCGAGTCGCTCGCGGCGGCGGCGGCGGCGTTCAATCGGCGTGGCGCGTGCACGTGACGCGTGGCGTGCACAAGGGCGACTCGTCGCTCATCTCTCGTCTTTTTTCTTCTCGCGCAGAAACGCGTCTCGTCGCGTGGCGTTCGCGTGCCGTGGGAAGAAACGTCACTTTCCGCATCCGCTCGCCGTGACGTCATCGGCCCGCAATAGTGGCCAGAGGGAGAAAAGTGCGGAGGGGAAAAAAAAAATAATCATTCCGAGACCGAAAAAAAAAGAGACTTGCGAGGAGAAAAAAATATTTTTTAGGACAACGGGTCCGCATATGCTACGAATAAAATCCAAATTCCAAATATTATGAGAGAAAAAAATGTCCGCCGGGTCTTTGGTTTTCATTTGTGAGTGTGTCTTTTTCGGCATTTGCGCAGCGTCCTTGAATGCAGCAGTGGGCGTCACGTGACCAGGGAGCTCACCGGAAGTTGACCTGTTCCGGCCAAACCTAAAAGCGACGCCAACAGCGTCCCCAAAACTTCTTTCCGAAACAGTTTGGCTTCTTCACTAATGAGGAACAAAGACCAAACAAGGCTTTCTTATAAATGTAATCATTATTCCAGCTAAATTCCATATCCGTAAATCTAAATGTAGTCGTTCAAAACCTATTTTCCTAATTTTTGGAAGCAGAAACTAAGCAGTACCCGATTTCTATTTTGGATTCCGAAAACAAGAAAGCGGTTAAGAATCTGGCCGGATGCTCTTTATTTGGGATTTTTATTTGAAATCCCCTGGCTCTTCTTTTTGTTTCTCTCGATGTATTCTGTACATGTATTAATAACTTGTTCGTTCTGTTGACTGTGAATTGTCACTTGATTTGTTCAAGAAAGATTTCCAAAATGTGAAAAAAAAAAAACATTTTTCAAAACAACAATATTTATTTTTTGAAGGGGCGGTTCAATTATTTTCCAATTTTCATTTTTCATTGTTTTGGGTGAGTGTCTTTTTTTCACAGCAATTATAACTAGAGTCAATTATATATGTGTATATATATATTTTTTTTTGGGGGGGGGGTTGACGACATTTTGATTGTTCGTGTGCGTGCGTGTGGGTGGGGGGCGGGGTGAAAAGGCCTCTTTTTATATGGCAGTTATTATAACGGGAATTACTTTTTTCACGTTTGGTGTTTGGGCCGATCCCTGAACGTTTTTAGAGTGTTTCAAGTGGAAGGACCAGGGGGACAAAAGCGGTCCAAAGGTGATTTTTTTTTTTTTTTTTTTTTTTTTGGTGTGAATACTTCTGCCACTTCTCGAGGAAAAAAAGAAAATGTCGGCGATGTGTGACTTTTTTTAAAAAGTCGATTCAAAGGTGTGGCTTTTTATTTTGCGCCGTGTGGCGCCGCCCGGTGGTCAACTGCGGTCACGTCGCCGAGGAAAGGCCTTGTGGCTGCGCGCGCATCCCGTCGCCGCTCGCCACTTCCGGCTTGGACTCCACATCCGCTGACTTTTCCCGCTCTTGTCGGCACACGCTCAGTCGGTCGGTCGATCGCCCTCTTGCGGCTGAAGCCAGAGCGGCAGCTATTTTGCATTGCCACCGTTCCCGACAACTCGTGCTGGCTTTCGGTCGGCTGAAAACGCCGTCATCGCTACGCGTTTTGGTACCGACGACCACGTACGGAGTCTTGAGAGCCTCTCGAACGCACCAACTTGACAGTTCGGCACCGACCATGTCGGCGCCATTGGCGGCCGCCCGGTCACGTCGAGGGGGGCGATGACGTCACGACGGCGGAAGGGAGCGGAGGCGATATATGTGCGGGATCGAAAAAGGCAGCGAGCGAAAGCGAACGAGGCGTCGCGGCGCGAGTGAGGGGCGACCGAGTGGAGTGACACTCAACGAGACGCCGGCTCGGGTGAGTGAGTGCGAGGCGGCGAAGGTTTTTTTCCTCAAGTCGTCTTCTCTCCGCTTCCTCGTTTTTTTGCTCTCCCCCTTGTCGCTTCAACTCTTGTGCGGCCGCAAACTGAACGCTGCCGCCGCGGGGGGGGTAAAAAAAAAACGTGCTTGCCGTATTTCAATCGGACGGTTCACATTTTCACGTGATGAATTTCACCTTGCAGCGCCCCCCCCCCCCAAAAAAAATCCGTCAGGCGACACATTTGAATGTGAAAAAGTTCTTGACAATCATGCCGAAGTGTGATTTTCAACTTCCTCATACCCACACCTCGCAAGATCATGCTTCGAAAAAAAACAAAGAAAGCTCACGTGGACTACCACCGCCAACAAAGGCAAAAAAAAAAAAAAAAAAAAATGAAAAATTGCCTTTCCGATCCAACAGGTGACGAGGCTAAAATAAAACAGAATCGCTGCCAACTAAGGGGCGGGCCTTCAACTTGACCAGACGAGTTTTTCCAGATCCTTCTTTGGCCTTCGCAAACTCGAGAGCGTCAACGAGCGCTTGCCAAAAAAGGAGGCTCGGTATCAAATCATGTGAAAAGCAAGCGAGGGGCAGTTGAGCACGGACGCCGTTTGAACACAAATGTCGCAGCAACACACGCAGACAGACAATGCGGCGGGACTCCGCGTCTCGCCCGTTTCGGGGGTTTCAACTCGCGATTGATGACGCAATCGTTTGGATCTTTTCCTCCACCAGGGCGCGCCGCGTGCGAAAGCATGCCGCCAGTCCCCGCGCAGATGCCTTGCCGCCGCGTGCGCTGCTCCGGCGGCGCGGCGCGGATGCTGGCGCTGTTCGCGCTGACGTTCGGCGTGGTGCTTCCGGCCGCGTGCCACCGCCTGCTGCACTCCTACTACTTTGCGCGCTCGGCCTACTTGGACGCCATGAGCCGGGACGCCCTGCGCCAGAGTCTGCGGCGCGGTCAGGACGCGCTGCTCTTCTGGCAGGCGGCGGCGGCGGGGCCCGACCC